CATACCCAAACTGATGAGCAGCTAAGGATCACTCGTGTGAGCTTCCCATACCAGGCATGGAAGGGTTTGGGATATCATAATTTTATGTGGTTTATTCAGTTATTCAGAGGAAGTTCATTGTTAACATCTTCACACAGGTAAAGGCTGAACTCCAGGTAATTTCCCTCTCTTCCCTCCTTTCCCTGTCCCCTTCACCCTGAAAAATAGCATCTCTAACAGATCTTCTCATTCCAGTTTTATAGTTGCAAATAATCTGTTGCAAGTTTTCTGTCTTTTTACAACACAAGTTTTTACCTCAACGAGCTGGATTTTCAAGATGCAGTAGACTCCCAACCTTGACTTATTGACATGAAACCCCTTTATATAACTACATCCTTTCTTAAAGCCTGGTTTTAGGTATTCATACATTATACAATCATGTACATGGGTGCTACAGACAGAATGGAAATTCATGTCAGTAAAACAAGTGTTTGTGCTCTTTTTCTTTATTTGTATATTTGGTGCCGTTGCTGGGGCTTGAACTCAGGACCTGGATGTTGTACCTGAGCTTTTGTGCTCAAGGTTAGTTCTCTACCAATTGAGCCAAACCTCCATTCCTAGTTTGTTGATGGTTAAGAGGAGATAAGAATCTAATGGATGTTACTGTCCAAGCTGGCTTTAAACCACAATCCTCAGCTCTAAGGAATGAGCCACCAGCCTCTGGTTAGTAATTCCATTTAGCAACTTGGCTGAGGTGTACAGAATCAGGGTGAGTTGTCTGTGGCTGTGCTTTAACTTTGCTCCCAGGGAAATTAACCTTTGCTGGTGATAAATGATGGTTAATTCACTGATCAGTCTCTGAACATCTGCCTCATTGCTTTGTTCCTCAAGTCTAATTGAGACTGAAGACAGCATACTGCTGGCCACACCAAACAGCAGCCATGGATCTTTTCTCCCTGGGTGGAAGATTTTACTGAGTTTCTGAGAAGTGAAGGAATTTTCCTCCCCTTTCCCTTTTCCTTCTGGTCTGGTCCATTGGTGCTTTTTTGCTCTAGGCTGCATGGATCTCAACCAGATGAGCCGTAGCACCACTTGTGGCTGGTTTCTAGATAATGTAAGAGAAGAGTGTCACAGACTTTCCTGCCCTGGCTGGCTTCAACTCCTAATCCTCAGATCTCAGCCTTCTGAGAAGATGGTATAGGCCTCTTGTGCTCCCCTGGAACCACTGATTAAGTTCATTTTCAGCATGGTGTCTTGTACATCTCATTGTTACAACGGGTCAACCTGTATCTTTATTTCAGCATTTTGTTACATCCTTTGCCCTCTCCAAATTATAAGATGCAGGATGCTGGAATCAAATAAAGTGAAAATGGGTTCTACTGTGGGGGAAGAACATACCAAAGAATCAAAGAAATCACATAGTACATTATAAGTATATTAAAAACAACAGCCAGCAAGAAAAAGCCACTTGTGTCCCTGTATATACACACACACACACACACACACACACACACACACACACACACATATATATATATATATATATATATATATCACATTTTCTTGATCCATTCA